ATAATATTCTAAGATAATAATTAATAAATAATAAATAATAAAATAATAAACTAATAATTAATTCGTTCTATAACAATAGGTTATAACTGATCTGCATAAATTTTGGGGTTTTTGCTACTCCTAAAATCAAATAAATTTGCTAAAAATTCAATTATTATATATAAATTTTAGGCAAAAATAAATTAGTGACCCGTCGCTATGCAACTCTTTTAAGATTAACCAATCATTTTTAGACTTTATATCGTGATATCAATTATCTGTGGTTTGGTATATATCACGCATAAATTATATATTGGCAAACATTATCTTGTAAAACATGTATGCATTTCAAAAGTAGTGACGTTTTCATGATGCAATCCATTAATCGATAATCTAGACAACTGTTCAAAATCCGTATTTTGTATACATATCTAGTATTTTTATTTTAGTGAAATTTTTACTATTGCTATGTGAGTAACGAAACAAGGAAAAAAGTATTCGCAGATTATAATGACTATTTAATAAATAAAAAGTTGAGACAAAGAAAAAAAAAGGTGAAACAAAAGAGAAAAAAAACAAACAAAAATTTTAAAGCAATGAAGTAAGAAGTAAAAAAAAAAAAAAAATCAAAAAAAGTATTCACAGATTATAATGATTGTTTAATAAATAAAAAGTCGAAACAAAAAAAAAAAAGGTAAAGCAAAAGAAAAACAAGAGAAAAAAAAACAAACCGAAAATTTTAAGGCAATGAAGTAAGAAGTAAAAAAAAAAAAAAATCTAGCAGCAAAAGTAAAAATTCATCTTACGTTTTAGTTATAGTATTACCTTTGCAACAATAAATATAAATAATTCAAATGAGCAAGACATAAAACTTGAGATTTTGGACAATTAAAACATAGAACCTGAAGCATTAAACAATCAAAGTTTAGAACCTAAGGCATTGGATGATCAAGATATAGAGCTTGAAGTGTTAGCAGCATATGATAGTACAAATGAGCTTTATGATATTGAAATTGATAAGTAAGTAATGAGATACTTTGTTTTATGTTAATATTCTTTTTTCTTATCACTATTTTCATTTTAGCTTGATGATAATATTGAAGAATTTTTTATAGGCAAAGCCTTTAAAAACTGGGATCAAGTAGCAGACTTCATAAAGAAATACACTATTGTTAAAGGCCATGGAATACGAATTGGTGGTGGTGGAAGAATAAATACAAAAACAAAAAAAATAATAAAAAGAACATATCTGTGCCACTATGCTGGAAAACTAGCAAAGTCAAGTGAGGTGTCTTGCCGAGTAAAGTGCTTGTAGAAAGTCAATTTTTGGTTCAAAAATAATAAAAATCATATTAAAGTTACCACTTTTAATAACCAACATATTGGATATGAACTTAACCCACTAGCAAGCCAGTTTGATCCAACATTATGCAAGTTACCAAAAGAAATTGTCAAAAAAATTCATTTTTTAACAACAGTTGCAAAAGCAGATGCAACCATGCAGTATAGAATAATCTGAAAAAAATATAATGTTAGAATATACCGACCAGATCTGTACAAAACAATTCAGATGTTTTGACATGATTCTGAATCGGGTGAAGATGATGCAGAAATGTTGTTGGAAAAGCTTAATAAAAAGAGAATTGAAGACCCCCGATGATTTGTTCTAATGGAATTTGACCCAGTCACTTCTTCTTTAACTTACCTCTTTTGGATAAGCCCAGAGCAACAAATTTTATAGCTACACTACCATGATGTAATAATGCACGATAATACATGCAAAACTGACTGATATAATCGCCCCTTGTCTATTTTTGTTACACCGGATAACAATTTGAAAACACGAATTGTGGCCCAAGCTATTGTTGACAACAAAACACAATCCTCCTATGAATAGGTCTTTAAATGTGTTGTAAAAACAACCGAATTCGCACCAAAAGTCTTTGTAACAGATGGTGACCCAGCAGTCAATGGTGTTGTTACAGTGCAATTTCCCAATACATTCCATATACATTGCATTTGGCATATAAGTCAAAACTTACCAAAAAATTTAAAGGGAGTAATTGGCTCTCATTATGATAATTTCATTATTTTTATATTATGAGAAATAGTTTAACAAAGAAAAATTTTAACGAAAGGTACATAGATAGTAATACCAAAATTTGTTGTAATTATAATGAATTATGGCATTTTTTGCCATAATTCATTATAATTATGAGGAACCATTGATGCTACACAACTGATCCTTCACCCAGAGTGCAATATATTTTACAATACCAAATCATTCTGCTAGTACAGTAGTATATGTTATAATTACATCTGGTAATTATAGCATGTACTACTGTACTAGTGGAATGATTTGGTATTGTAAAATACATTGTACTCCGGGTGAAGGACAAAAAAAAAGCAGAATTACAACAAAGATGAACCGAAATTCAAAAAAAATTAATTAGTCAAATAATTTATATTACTATTGAGGTTGCCCCAATGACTATGTTGAGAAATTAGATTGTTCATTAGAATAAAAAGAAATACGTGGTTATATCACCCTTACGAAAAAAAAAGATCAGTTATGTAACATCGACGGTTCTGCATTATTATTCTATAAGCTTCGTATGCTAATTATTTTTATTTATTCAAAGATGGGAGAAATTACTGCAGGATTATTCACAATCCAGTAACTATTTAATGAGGTCTTTAGGCTATTGTACTAAGTCATGGGCTCATGTGTTTACCAGTAGATATTTTACAGCCGGCGCACAATCAACATCCCGTAATGAAGGTAAGAACTCAACATTAAAATGCCTTTTTGGAGGTTCAAGTCTTTCATTATATGAGCTGTTTGAGGCCTTAGAAGAAAGAAACAAAAAAGAAATCGATTACTGTAAGTTTGTAAGCTGGAAGCAAACTATTCCACAAATAGGACCAAAAAATGGTTCAAAGGCTATTTTTAAACCAGTAGTACGCTAATTAAATGAGTTTGTAATGCCAAACGTAATAAAAAAGTAGGAAGAGCAAATAAACTTGAGTTTTTATTACCATGCCACGGAGGTTGATCTTGAAGCCATATTTTCTAAAGAGAGGGTAAGGTTTTTATAGTTGGTATTATAATCATGTTAATAGCGGGCATTAGCGTTATTTCGAATTTCGGCCTTAATTTGGACCAAAATTCAACATGCTTGTTATTTCGAGAATTTATGATATGCCTGTTTCATAGACATGAGTTCTAATTATTTTTCTACACTATTATTAACCATTATTCTTTTTATTGGTTATTATTTTAAGAAGTTGATGAATCCGAACGATGCATTGATAATTTGTTTGATTGCCCACAAATACAAATGAAATCATTTCTAAACAATTTTTCAATAATTCTTGAATCTTGAGAAGTTATGCATTTATTAAGTTCTGGCACTTCATATTTTGTACATATTTTGAACGATGGTATCTTTTTTTGCACTTGTATGCTCAAGAAGTCTTATAGATACACGTGTCGTCACTTTTATCATATTATGACTCTAACCCCCAATGCAAGATTTCATATTGGTTTAGTCAATAGGCGCTGGTACAAAGACATGCTACAAGAAACTGACATAACAAATTATAAATTCATAGTCATCTCTTCAACCATATTTATATTAACATCAAAAGTACATACTTTGCCTACACAATTTTTGTATAGCGAATTCAACATTAATGGAGCCGCAAATCGTGTTTCAAACCAATCACATGATGAAATATCTAAGGCTATTTCGAAAAAGCGAAAGTTTGGTGAATTTTGGAGACTAGGAAAAAAAATAATGGTTAATGCAATTGAGGATAGCAATGAGGAGATTTACCATGAACTTCTTAGTTTTTTTACATCAATCCAGAACAAAACATCGCCGCAAATAGTTAATAGTGAAGCTAGTGATGTTGGTAAATTTAGCTATAAGATTAACAATAATGGTCATATAATAGGGATTCGAAATCCTGTTAAAAAAAGGTCTAAAGGTCATCCAAAATTAAAAAGAATTGCAAATGCATTTGAAAAGTCTGATACAAAAACAAGTTACAAGTGCAAGTTATGCAATAAAAAGGGTCATAATAGCAAAACTTGCAAAGAAAAAAGAAAGTCAAACATTAATACAAATAATAAAATTGAAAGGTAAGTACAGTATATACGATTTAAGGTGCTCACAAAATTCAAATCTTCAAACCTTTAAATAAAGAAATTTGCATATGCAATAATTTATATTAGTTTAATTTTGAGAGTATCTGAAATTAGATACTAAAATATCACATGATTTATCACCTGCTAACTTGTTATACAAAATTTAACATTAAAATTGAAATTTTTTTTTTTGATCTGTAAATGCATATTCTAACCAATATTCGTATAGTGAATGTAAGCGTATTAAATATAGGTTATCTGTATTTGATATACCTATACTTATTACTAAAGCATTTGTTAATTTAGGTTATGAAGAATTATCGACCACGTCTACAAGTCACGAAAGTATTCAAGATATATCAGATACTGAAGAATTCAGTATTATTTGCTTCGTTTTATAGCTAATAATAAACATTTCACAAAGGATCGCATCCAGTATATTATTTCTTACATGTTTTACTTTTTAGTAGAACTAAGTAATCCTGTGGTGTTGATTTCATCACCTACGCAACCAATTGACTTTCAAAATTGTGAACATATGCAAAGACAATGTAGTGTTTGTCATGGAAAGGGACATAATTCCCGAACTTGCCCAAATAAGATTTAGATTAATAAAAAAACTTTGATAGTAAGGTCAATGAAAATTGACCCACTTGATTTTGTGTTCATTTGTTATTTTTTTTTTAAATGATTGTGAAGGATTGTACAGTGTAATGATCTTATATAGGCCTACATTCAAATGTCTACCCTGAGTCATATTTAATATAAGGGTTGGACCTTAAGTATGATTGGTTTTAAATCTGAATTTGAGAGTTGCAATTAGTTTAAATTAGATTTAATACATCGATTAAGGGCATTAAATATAATAAATTAGAGTTAAGTCACCTTGTTTTATCTTTATTTATTTTATTTATTTATTTATTTTTTTTAGCTAACCTTTATGCAATTTAAGTCGATCAATATATAAAAGATTTTAATGGTGCATAACATCAATTAATGGGAAGTAATTTATAGGTATGGCAATATTGCTGTAAGATACTAAAAAAAAACAAAAAAAAACAAACTTGTAGCTCCAAATTTTCCACTAATGAAATTGAGAATAGAACTGATTAAAAATAGAATTACTACTATTTAGCACTACTAAAGTATCTCCACAAAATAATACCCCATGATTAAGACCTGAATATTACTTACCATCTTGCTACCTGTTCTAAATAAGGCCCAGAGGTATAACTATATTAATTTATTACTTCTTATACGTACATTCTCCAAATATAGTACTCGGGCACTAAAAACAAGGCTTTGAATAAGATCTCAGGTACTAGATGTAGTGCTAAACAGTAAATTCTAAAATAAGATTTGTGTTACTATGAGCAGTATTAAAAGCAAAAATTAATACTCATTTCGTTAATAGGAAAATAATGGTTTCTAAAACATTCATCCATGTTATTTTTGGTGAATATAAGATCTATTTTGAGTTGCAAGCTTTAAAGATTATCATTAATTAACACCAACTTTTAAAGCAGAAATTAAAATCCATAAGAAATTATTTCTTATAGATTTTGGTGAGTATGAAGTTCATTTATTAATAAATTTAAATTCACATCTGCATAAAGATTTGTTACTTATCAATAATTCTTTATTAATAATTTGAAGTAAGAGTTCAAGCTTGTAAAAAATTAGAACCTTCCAAATTTTCTTTTTACTTTAACTTAGGTAATTATAGGTTATTGTTAGTAGAGTTCAAAACAATAATTAAAATTTTGTAAGAGTTTACTATTAATCGATGCATCTGTACGTTAATTTATCTTAAAATAGGGATTAAAATTCGCAAGTCTCTTCGTTAATAGGTTTTACATTAAGCTTAGTGGTATATAGTAAATGTACTTGTTTATTTGAAGACTGTTGTTTATTAATACCATCCTAATTAATTCTTTAATTCTAGATGTCATAGTGATTTATCTTTGTAATTGTCTGATAATTTTAAACAAATAAAGACTTTTATTTAGAAGCATGCACAACTTTATCAATGTAATATTCGATAGTGGCACGTGTGAATAGTTGAAAATTCTGGTTTATACTTTTCCAATTAGCTATCTCGCACTACAGAACATCAAGTACCATAAAATCCGGACACATATACCCCATGGCATGTACCTCCTAGCAGTTTTAAGGGACTTATACCTAGGTACATAGATATTATACATACTATATGTATTATCCCAGGTAGATATAGTAAAACATATTGTCTCAATATGGCATACCCCTATATAGAGGTATCCTGGGTACAAAATTGAGTAATAAAAATACCCAGGGTACACGTGTCCAGATTTTACGATAGATGTTTTACCTTCTATCTATAGTTATTAAACAAAACCCCAAGGTTTTATTGTTAATTAAGAAGAAACTGATTATCAGTCCATTGCGTAGCCGCAAATTTATCTTCAATAAATTATTAAACCTTATAATGAAAAAGCCAAACACTACAAAAAGTTCTTAATATCAATTAATGATGTAGTTAAAGTAGGTTATTAAGTTCATAAATTTTTACTACTGTATTATATAATTCTTATTTAATTCATTTAATTACTTTTTTTTACTTTTAGTCTATAAGTATAAGAAATATTTGTTAATCGATATATTAAGGTATTATTTACTATTACTTAATTTCTCTTTGATCCCCTGGATTCGTCGTCATTTCTTCGATGATTCTTCGTGGCCTTTGTATTTGGCAAGTTTTATACAATTTGTTTGTGTGTGAATACAAACCACATGCTGTATAGCACTGGTAAGTTCTGTAATTAAATTTTTGCAATTTTTTTTGGATATTTTCAACAGTAAACCATGATCAAAAACATGATAATTCTAATAAAAGCCAAACATAACCTTAACTACACACTATAATTCCAATACAAACAAATTTAACCACATACTGTGTGATACCGGTAAGTTCTGTAACTGAATTTTTTGCAATAAATTAATATTTTTTCCTAAATATTTCCAATACAAATTAACACAACTTTAGTTGCTTCTGTAACAGGTTTTTTTACTTAGATCACGATTGAAATCACGATAATTCTAATACAAGCCAATATAACCTATACACAATAATTCCAATATAAGCCAACATAACCTACGCATGATAATTTCAATACAAGCTAACTTAGCCACATACTGTGTGACACCAGTAAGTTCTATAACTGAATTTTTGTAATAAATTAATCTTTTTACACACAATAATTCCAATAAAAGCTAACTATATACTGTTTGTCACTGGTAAGTTTTTTAATTGCAATAAGTTACTTTTTTTGGGGTATTTTCAATACAAATTAACATATCCTTAATTACTTTTGTAAATGAATTTTTATATTAAATTATGATCGAAAACACAATAATTCCAATACAAGTTAACATAACCTTAACTACACACAATAATTCCAATATAAACAAATTTTAACCACATGCTGTGTGTCACTAGTAAGCAATAAATTAATCTTTTTTCCTGGATATTTCCAATACAAATTAACACAACTTTAGTTGCTTTTGTAACAGGTTTTTTTACTTTAATCACAATTGAAATTACAATAATTCCAATACAAGCTAACATAACCTTAACCATACACGATAATTCCAATACAAGCATTACAATTAGAATAAAAAGATAAATTGGGTATCTTGCACTATATAGCTTTGGATCTTGAGTCGATTCATTCGCAAAAACTTGTTCACAGAGATTTACACAGTGGAAATATTTTGCAAGATTATTTGTATAGTGCATATATTACTGATCTTGGACTTTCAAAGAAAGGATTTAACCACATGTTGTATGTCACTAGTAAGTTATGTAATTGAAATTTTTCTGGATATTTTCAATACAATTTAACACAACCTTAACCACTTTTATAATAGAGATTTTTTATAGTAAATTACATAACCTAACCTTAGCCACCCACAATAATTTCAATAAAGCTAACTTAACTACTATATGCTATTTGTTATCAGTAAGTTCTGTAACTGAATTTTTTTGCAATAGGCTACTTTTTTTTTGGACATTTTCAATACAAATCAACATATCCTTAATCTTTTCTGTAACAGGATTCTTTACTCGATAATTTCAAACAACCCTAACCACTTATTATAATAATTACAACACTAACTTTACCACATCCTTAGTAAGTTCTTTAATTGAATTTTTTGCATAAATTGCGATATATATAGTAAATCCGATACAAACTAATATAACTTTTATTCTTAAATTCGTTCGAGCCTATTGAACAATTCTGATACGAAATAGGTTTACATATATAGGTTTGAATTCAGATAAATAACTATCAGATGTACAACTAAATACTGTATAATTATATTGATATAAGACGCTCTAATTTAAACAAACAAGAAATAGTACAATTGGATGAAACTTTTTGTTTAAGTTTAGTAGATTGTTTTTTTTTTCTAATAAGTCTATTTTTTTTTGCTTCTGGTTTATTAATTTTTACCTTCTTCAGAATATAATGATAAGTATTGGTATCTTTTTTTTCATTTTTTTTTTTTAATTGGCTTTTTTTTTTTTGCAGTTTTGTACTTCGGAATGGTTCATAGAGAGCAAAAATCTTGTGTATTATTTGGAGAATGCGGCTCTAAATAGTTTTAATAGTAAAGCAGCATCTAAATTGTATATTATTATATGTATATATATACAATATTGAATTTAACAGTTTAATTGCATACATATGTAACAAGTGTTTGTCACTATACTATTTTTTATATTTTAAATAAAGTTATTTGGAATCAGTTCTATTTTATATATTAAACCCGGTTTGTAAAACCGGTTTCAAACCTTTATCATGTAATTAATTTTGATTGGTTGATTATGGGTCGCCATGGTGACAAGTCGCTAAAAAATAAAGCCCATAATAAAAAATTAATTTTATATTTTATAAAGTGTTTTTTTATATTTTTTTAAAATTTTAAATTTAAATTTACTATCTTCAGTACTCAATTTCTTATTATATATATTTTAGATTTTGTAATTACAAAATTAATTATTATATTAACTTGTATTTGATTAATTAAAGTTGATAATTGAATATTTTTCTATAAAGTTTCTTTAGCTTTTGTAATAAAAGAATATTAGGAATTTTATTATACCTAATTAAAATAATATTAAATTTAAAAACTAAATTTTTGTTGGAGAGTTGTGGCCTACTTAGTGGTTTGTCTAGAGGTCAACTCTGCTAGCGGAACTCCTCTATGGGACATTTGGCATGCAAGCCAAGAGCGTTATTGTACAAGATATCTGGCAAACGGCACTCTTGTATAAAAAATCTTGGTGAAGTGTGGGCAAAGCCCAACTTCATTGATGAAGTTTTTAGGTCGTTACTTCAAAGAAGAACACAGGAGAAACAACAAAATATATATTTTTCTAAAGCTGCACTCCTTTTACTTGGTTAAGTGGTTCCTCTCTCACCTCTTTTCATTTTTCTATCGGTTTTTCAAAATTTCTGCAAAAAGTGGGGGATTTGGCTTACTCCCTTCAAAAGATCAACATTGTTTACTTTCCAAATTCGGATGGACTCGGTAGAATGCAACCACGTGACATGTTTATTT